ACACACACACACACACACACACACACACACACACACATAGAGTGAACATAGCTCAGACTTATTTCTTTATTCTACAGATTCATCTGCAGATTAGTTTGTTGTTACAGAGTTTTGACATCTTCTACCCTTTCTGTTTATTATGGCCTTTACTGAATGACCAGAGTAGTGTTTTTTTCATGATAGAAAGATAATTTCGTATTTCTATTTATCAGTTTTTAAGATAATGAACCTATTGATTATTTCTTCGTTTTTACTCACCAGTATGCTGCAATCAACGATCAAGGCAAAGTAATGGTTAATGGGATGTCTACTCAGCTGCCTATCTCAGTAGGTATGTAGCTCATTAGAAATATCTGACTGTGCAGAAGGAAGAGTTTTAAATCTTAAATGTACTCAGCATATCAAATTTGGTTTGGTATCAGATTGACAACTGTGTTTGCTGTTCTGGAAAACAAATTCTTTTGGAAAGGAAAGCTCACTATCCATGCCTCAATCTTAGTCAGCCTCTGAACATATGCAGCTTTTAAAAGACTTTACAAACCTCAGCTCTACAGATTAGGGCAATCAATTGATTAAGGGACCTGTCTCAAAAAGCATTTTTTTAAATCTGTATTTCATCGGATTCCCAATTTATTTCCAAACACAGTTCAAATTCTGGATAATATTTTGCTAAACTTTTGCTGGAGTGTTATATGTGAGGTTGATGCATATCTGCTGAAGAATTCACTTTATTTTTCTGTTAGTGTCACTACAAATTCCTCAAAGATTGGTTAAGCAATGCTATAGGTAATCTAACCTACATCTTTAATAGTTTTGGTCCACCAGTAAACTAGTGAAAAATCTGGATTTTTAAAACCACCCTACCAGAGAAATAGAGTGGTAACTCCTGTGCAACCTTTATCCATTTGAGTGATTTGGGAACTGGGGTGAAATCCTTCTACTTTAAGTAGACCTTATGTTACACTTGTTAACAGAGTCACTATGAGCAGCCATATAAATTTGCTTATTAAGTAAATAAAATAGATAATAAATAAAACCAATTAAAATCATAAAGTGGGTAACTAAAGAAAAAGGTAATATTTTTTTTTAAAGTTATTGCTGACCAACTTTTACCTGACTTGTAGAATGTGAGTCAAGAGTAACAGCCACTATGCTACTATAGCTTTATCATAACAACAGCTGCAACAGAGAACCAAACTTTAGAAAGTCGTGGAAAGGAAGTTTTGTTTTAGGCTGGGTGCTGTGCCTGCATAGATGTGAATGTTGATTCTATAAATCAACATTCACAAATTACAGATACAATCTGTAAATTGTATCAAGGTTTTCAAAAAGTCTATATGCCCTGTAAATTCTGCCCACAAAAAGAAAAATGTTTTGGGATTGCTTTCTTACCATGAGGAAGTGGGGTGAAGAAACAGACCAATTAGACAGTAGGCTGCTTTATTAACTGTGGGTTCAAATAGAATAGCTGGCCATTACCATAGCCAACACTGAAAGAAGAACTACCGTGTTTCTCTTTTGACCCCTGAAGTAAGCACTTGGCCTTATTTTCAGGGAGGTCTTATTTTTTGAGGTGCAGGAGGTGGCGAACATGGTCACCTCATGGCTGTTGCTGTATTTTCAGGGGAGGCTTATTTTAGTGTGTGTGCTCAAAAGCCCAATTGGGCTTATTATCTGGGGGGGGTCTTATTTTCAGGGAAACAGGGAATTAACCAG